CCGGCGAGGGCACGGACCACGCCAGCCAGGGAGCCAACCCAAAGTGCCTGACTCCCAATTCACTTTAATCACCCCCAAAACCAAAACACACCTCAGGGACCCTAATTAATTCCATGTTCCACCTCTCCCTAGGCAGCAACCACTCTGGCTTCCGGGACACTCCGGCAGGGAGGTGAGATCACGGCGGGCAGGTCAGTTTATCATCACACCAGCACCGCCCAGCTCTGCCTGCACACACGGAGTTGTGCAAACACAACGGCTGAGCTGGGAAGCTCCATGGTACCTGCAGCTGAACTTCCAATCTCTGCTGCCTAATGGGCTCTGGATCAGCTCCTCAAGCATCCAGCTGTCGTTCCCACCAGGAGAGAACGCTGTACGACTGAACTGATTCACTTTCAAACCTGCTGGATAAATACTATTTTATTTTTAGAAATGATGGGGAAAAAAGGAAAAGGGGGTAGAGGGGGAAATGAAGCTGCCCCAGGGGATGGAGTCATGGGCTGGTGCTGTACAACAAGTCCATCTTCCCTTTCTTCTCTGGTCATGGGATGTTTGTAGATCTCAAGCCACAGAGCTGTTCAGGAGAGTCGTGTGGTCCAAAGCAGCTTCTGCGGAGGCACCATGTGGCCACTTGGCAGGTAACTGGGGAGGATTTTGGCTCGAACAGCAGAAAGTGATGGAAGAACGAGGAAGGGAGGAAAAAGCCCAGGAAGAAGATGAACACTGTGAATCACAGGCAGGTAGAGGACCACCCATAGGGTGTACCTGGGGAGGCACCAAATCCAAGGCCAGGCCATCCTTACGCAGTTCCCTCTAAATATTTTTGAAAGCTCTAATCCCAAATCAAAAAGGAAATTGCCGCTGATGTTTGATAAGTCATTTCACCTTTTTTTTAATTCACCTTTTTCTAAGGTTATGCATGTGGATGCCCAGGGAAGAAGACAGACTACAGCAGCATCGTGGTTTGGAGCACCCCGTACTCTCTCCAGCCACATGAACAAACAGGTTTCAAACACCATTTCATCCTGTTCCCATTTTTGCTGTGGAGTAGCACGTTTGCCCCGAGTTACAAAACCTGATATGCAGAACAGAAGTTTGCCTGTTGCACAAAGACCACTCACACTTTAATTTCTAAGAAACATTAAAATCCTACAGAGAAATAATGTGTTGACGGATCCAGGTCTTACTCTCTGTAATTTTTGAGCTGACACCAAGACAAATTAAATCCAGATAAGACTAGCTTTAGAATTACCACGAAATTACGGAGACCAATCCTATTTTGTTGCAAATATTAAAGATTCCACAGCTATGACAGGCCTCAAACTTCCTCCTGGCAAACTGTGAACTTTTTTCAAAGCATTATACGAGCACTGGTTCAACGACATGTTTACTGGAAGAGGGGATTAGAGCCGTGCAATGCTCAAATCCAGAAAAAAAGCCCCCCAGCATTAATCCCAACGACAATGTCCGCTTAGGCAAGACCCAGTTAGAGCTCGGGGAAAAGTTTAAGAGTTGCAAATCCCCCAAAAACGCGTGCAGGTTCCAAACTGAACCCGTGCAATGCCCTGAGCTGGGTGGGATCCAGGAGGGACTGACAGGTTAGTGCTTGTGACCGGTGCCAGGAGCTCGTGTGCCACTTCGCTGCCACCCTGCAATTAGAAAACTGACCTTGGAGCTTGGCATCAAGGGCAGGAAACGCCACAAATCCTAATTGAACCGGCAAGTGCCAGGGAGGGGAAGAGAAACACCCTGCCCAGAGCAGCAGCTAGAAAGTCAGGCTGGTGCCATGATGCACAAAGGAGCTGGATGAGCCTATTGTTCCGTGTCCGAGCAACCCCCTTCCATGGCCTTACACTCCTCAGCAGGATCTTCCAAGATATTTTCCCTCACCAGCGTTGTTTACTCGGTGAAACAAGACTGGAGTTTTGCTGCAACAATCCGGCCGCCCCTTTCCTCGAGCAATGGGCAAACACGGGCTCTTCTCTCATCACGCTCCCTCCAACTCTGCCCAAGGCTCTTCAAAATCCCCTTAAAAATCGAGGATTTTGTGCGGTGCTTCCAAGCAAACCGCAACTCGAGGGCAGGACCCGTCTTTCCTCCTGGCCGGCGTTACCCCAACGCCACCACTTCATTCCTGGCCCAGGTTCACGGTGAGTTCAGAGTCCTTTTGCTCAGAAAGTAAAGGTGCAAAGTGCCCTCCCTTCTCCATTTCCTCTTGCTCGCAGGAGTGGAAAACGCCAGTCAGCTCCTTGAGATCTGGGAACACGTTCAACACTTGGGAAGGAACCCCAGGGATGAATTCCCGCTCCCATCGCCACGGCCGGCGTTGATCAGACGGAACAATGGATCTAAAAAGGCTCACAGGGATTCAAATCCAACCTGGTTTACCCCATTTACACGGTCAGACATCCAAAGCACTGCTAGATTTATTTTTTTTTTTTAAGCCACAAACAGCACGAGGTTTTTTACTCCATGGAATTTCGTCCTTACCTGGAAGCACAACCCCCGCATCCGAAGGTGACATTCAGCATCGGTCTCCCCACCGCAGGAAACCAGGGCAGCTATCCAGCGAGGAGATCCCCATCTCTGGCAGGCAGAGGTGCTTTCCAAGGAAGAATTAAAACCAAAAAAAAAAAAATAGGAGGGAAAAAAAAAAAAATCCAAGCGATTCACAGGAAACTTCCAGCCCCAGAGTCCACCCCGGACCGCTCGGAAACTGGCTCCTGGGAGGCAAGTTTGCAAGAGCTCGGCTGAGCCCGTCCCTCCTCGGGTCCTCCCCTAGGCGGATCCTTCCAGGAGCCCCAGGAGCTGTAACCCGAGTCCTCGCCGCCTTCCTGGAGGCCAGAGCCACTTTCCCAGCATCTCCGGTTCGGACTGGAACGAGGGAGCTCCGATCCGCCAGCATCACCGTGGTGGACCGTTCCTGCTGTGGGAACTGGCACCCCTCTGGTCCCACCGCACCAGTTTGCCCCCGTGCTGAGGGTTCGTTCGTGCTACCCCAGAGCCTTCACCCCATGGCAGGAGAGGAGCAGATCTTCCGAACGACCAGGCATCATCCCACGATGGAGCTGTCTTGGCAGCAGAAGGCTCTTTTCCCACCCTACAACTACAGCACCCACATCTCAAGCGGACCATCAGGTCAGGATCCAGCCCCCCACGTCCACGACACCAGCCACGCTTGCCCAGTGCGACGCAAGCAGCCTTGAAACGGGGAGAAGCAGGGAAAAAGACGTCGTGAGACGTAAGGGAAACTGAGGCACGGACCGGAAAGGATTTTCCCGCTGTAACTTGCTCTGTGCCACTGCTAGAAACAGAGCTCACACTTCTGATGTGTCACTCCAGCTAGTCCTTGACACATCTGAGATTATTTTAGCTGCTGAACACCACCAACACCAGCAGCACACTCAGCGCTAACAAGCCATAGCTGTATAAATAATGAAGGAAAAAAAAAAAATTAAAAAAAAAAACACACCCACACCGAGTTTGCAACATCCATTCACCGTGATTTACGCCCGCTGCTCTCGCAAAGGCCCCAGTAATTTCCATTCGACTCCAATTTCCAGTTCTCCCACCCTCCTCCTCCCATCGCCCGTTCCCCCGGGGAACAATGTTATCACCTATCGCCGAGCACAGCCCTTAATCTGCTGCCAGCCAGATACACCGGGGGAGTTTGGCAGAGCCCAGTGGTGTTATGTAAAACAGGCAGGAGATTTACACCACACAAAGGGGGAAGAGATAGGGCCAAAACCCCAAGGACACATTAACAGGGCAGCGATAAATGGAAGCAGAGCACTGGTGACACTGGCGAGAGAAAAGATGGGTGAATGGGACAAAGTGAGACAGCAGAGGGGCAGCCGTCGAGTCCTGCAAAAGCTGGGAATTGCACCAGGCTCCCTAAATTCTGCCCCGACATCCTGCAGCCTCCAAAGGCCGAAATCATTCCAGAAAATTCATGAAATTGCACCAGGCTCCCTAAATTCTGCCCCTGCATCCTGCAGCCTCCAAAGACCAAAATCATTCCAGAAAATTCACGAAATTGCACCAGGCTCCCTAAATTCTGCCCCTGCAGCCTCCAAAGACCAAAATCATGCCAGAAAGTTCACGAAATTGCACCAGGCTCCCGAAATTCTGCCCCGACATCCTGCAGCCTCCAAAGGCCGAAATCATTCCAGAAAATTCATGAAATTGCACCAGGCTCCCTAAATTCTGCCCCTGCATCCTGCAGCCTCCAAAGACCAAAATCATTCCAGAAAGTTCACGAAATTGCACCAGGCTCCCGAAATTCTGCCCTGACATCCTGCAGCCTCCAAAGACCAAAATCATGCCAGAAAGTTCACGAAATTGCACCAGGCTCCCGAAATTCTGCCCTGACATCCTGCAGCCTCCAAAGGTCGAAATCATTCCAGAAAATTCACAAAATTGCACCAGGCTCCCTAAATTCTGCCCCTGCAGCCTCCAAAGACCAAAATCATTCCAGAAAGTTCACAAAATTGCACCAGGCTCCCTAAATTCTGCCCCTGCAGCCTCCAAAGACCAAAATCATACCAGAAAATTCATGAAATTGCACCAGGCTCCCGAAATTCTGCCCCTGCAGCCTGCAGACACCAA